TGTTAATTTTAGAGGAAGACAAGTAATGAAAGCAGAAATGGAAATACTCATATAGTTTTCTGATCTGAGTCACATTTGTGTGGTTTAATAAATTCTATAATGACGCAAAAAACAAGGTGGTCACAATGTTAATGATCTCTTAATGCATAGACTAGTTTCATTTAAAGGCTCAAGCTGCTTTCTGAATGCTAACTAATTAAACCTAAACTTTCTTTGTCAGATAATTATTCATGTGTGTCCTTTTTTTAAACCCAAGAGTCTGCCCAAGCTCTGTTTYTGATAAGGTAGTTAGAAAAACTGAGGTCACCTGGCATAGTTCTGTATGGAAACTATAGCTTAGAGGATTTTGTCACAGCGGGGTTGTGTGCCACCCTTCCCAGAGGATTTATGACACAAGTACCTGGAAAACTCCAACCACAGTAGTTTGTAACCAAGCCTTCCCAGTGACTCTGGAAGAGGTAAAAACATTCACAAAATTGGGACATGTGCAGGATAGCACAGCATGAGCAAATTCTACGTTAATCTGATAAGGAGCAAAATAATCACCTCTTAAAGCAGTAAGGCTTAGGAAGTAAAGGTGCAGCATGGAGATACACTTCTGCAAGGGGAGCAATTACTAAGAGCTTTGTATTTCCTTCCTGTTAGTTATCTCATGAATAAATAAACCCTCTCTGCTTGGCACTGATACCTTTAGCAGACTCTGATTTAGCACATTCCTTTACTACTCCCTCCCACCCCAACCAGATATTCTGAAGTCTAGAACCCTGTTACAAGTAAGTAATTAATTTTCACTCATTGGCTTGGAATTCAGTGAGGAAAGCAAAAAAACAGAGGTGAGGTCCTGGAAAGTAGGTAAGTAGTGGGAACAAATGACAAATGTTGCCCCATCAGCAGACAATAAAGCAAGATATGGAAATACAAGCTCAAATACTAGCTGGTATGATGTTTAATTAACTGCTTCATTAGATATATGTAGTTGTCCCTCTGTGGAATTTAAAACACCCTTTTTCAGGACTTGTGCAGGCAAAACCTCAGGGTAGCAAAGGTAGCTTACAATGTCATGTTTTAATGTCTGCTCAACACCTTTGTCCTTCACTGTCTACCCTGCCTGCTTCWCAGTGGCTGGGATCCTGACTGGGGAGCCCCTTCCTCCTCCTGCCCTCTTTCTTCCTGGGAACCTAAATGTTCTGAACTGTGCCTCAGATCCCCTGGGTTTAATTTTCTAGAGGCTGGCTTATTTAATGAATTAAATCATGCCATAAAATCAATAAATGATGGGCTGGGATTGTGGCTCAATGGTAGAGTGCTCGCCTACCATGCATGAGGCACTGGGTTCGATCATCAGCACCACATAAATGTAAAATAAAGATATTGTGTGCACCTAAAACTAAAATAAATAAATAAATATTTTAAAAAAATCAATAAATGATGATAATCATATATCCCCCTTCCAAGTAACCGTCATGAGTTTTTCCAGTAGTTTTCTAAAGAGAATGGGTCACAGTTCCAAAATGTAACTCTGATCCCAGGTGGAAATTTGGCAGAGTTTTTGAAGCCAGTAGCCCTCTTCATCTATTCCAGTCACCTGAATAAACATGTGTTGGACATCTTAGGCCTGCTTTGGTACACACGTGAACAGGTTTCTGTGCTTACCAACACATAGGGATAGCAGGACCACCCCGAGATCATCATTCTGCAAGGCTGGTCAGGAGGGGAGCTGGGTGAGAAATTCACTTTTTTTCTCCTTGTTCCAGTGCAGGACTGCACTTTGGGAAACAATATGCTGCTTGTTATGTCATTCAACCCAGTGGGAGAATCACAGATAAGCCAGTGGTCAGATGAAACACACCTATAAATGACTAATCCTAGGCAGAAAGGCAGATAAAGAGGTGTGTAATTCCAGAGGTGGGAGACAAACTTTCTAATCAGAAGCCAGGGATGGCTTCATGGAAGAATGGCATTTGTTCTGGGACTTGACTAGGAGAATTTCCTTCCTTCTCCTCCTCCTTCTCCTTCTTCAAGCAGGCTCTTGTAATTGTGGTCAGACCAGATCAAGTGATTCTTCTGCCTTAGCCTCCCAAGTAGCTGACTTTATAGATCTGTGCATTGTGCCTGGCTTGACTAAATAAGATCTGATGACTCTAGTTGAAGGAATGATGGGTTGGGGGGACAGGAAAAGATAAGATGTCAGCAAAACAGACACAAGTAGGTGGGACTCTCAAAACAATAGACAATTCTGCAGTTGATCACAGGTGCATGGAAGAGAGGAGAGGAAATTTGGAAAAAAATGTTGTTCTAGGGCCTGTGAAAATTCAATGTCAAATTGACGAGTTCTTTATCTTGTAGGCAGAGACTTGTTCCAAATTGGAGAAAAAGGGGACTGGAACCAATTTGAAATGGTACTTTAGGAAGAGTGATCTGGCCACCATGGTGGAAGACCAATTTGCACAGCAGAGGTGGGATCAGAGGGGAGGAGAACAATGTATGAGAGAAATGTTGTAGGTAGAAATTATTGAAAGTTGATAATAGGTATGAGTCACAGTAAGAATAACTACTGAAATGGGAAATAATAAATTAAGAACAATGGGAAGGACAGGTGGGTAAGATGAGCTTGATTTTGGACACCATGCATGAGTTTTGAGGAAATGGTAAATTTCCTGATGAAAATGTCTATCAGCTTATTGGGAATGCCATCTAAAGTCAAGAGCACATGCCCTACCATGTGCATTTTTTAATTTAATTTTATTTTTATATTTATTTTTTAGAAGTAGTTGGACACAATACCTTTGTTTATTTATTTTTATGTGGTCCTGAGGATTGAACCCAGGGCCTTACACGTGCTAGACGAGYGCTCTACCACTGAGCCACAATCCCAGCCTGCATGTGTATTTTTTAGTTACACAAAGATCCACTGTAATGAACTACCAGTCAAAATCCAACTACATAACCAAGGTATTTAATGCAAAATACATACCTTCTTGGTACCAGCATCAGGTGTAAATGGCCAAGATCTATCCATCCATCACAAAGATAATATATGTACTTTTATTTTGACATCATTCTACCCTAAACTGASTTGATAGCACCTATTGTTTGGAAAATACAGTAGCACTTTGCATAATGAAATGAACCCAGGGCTTTTGCTTTGGAGACAGGAATTGGAATCCTGGTTGGCTCTGACTTCTAGTCRCTTACTTTTTTCTCACAGTTCCAAACTGAAAATACAGATCTCTATGAGAGATATTGACTATTCTCAAATCAGTGGGTGTGCAAAGGCTCATCCTCAAGGAGCTTCCACACATGCTAATGAGGAAGACAAACAAGAGGTCAGATGTGACTAGAGCAATAAGTGGTAGGAACACAGTAAATAAAGGAGGAAAGAGATCTTTATGGAATTGACACTGGGGATGGCTGTGTGAGGGTGTGGGTAGAGAAGTGAGGCAGAAACTCCAGGATGGAAAYGCACTATGAACAAAGGTGCAGAAGATTGTTAGGTCTTTAGAAACCAGTGTTTGGAGAAGATAAGGCTGGGCTGCAGGTTGAAGCAGCTTTGGGGACCTCCAGTCTCAAGCTAAGAAGTGGGATTTGGATTCAGTAGCTAATGCAGTATTGCCTACTTTTGAAAGGGAACTGGAGGCAACTGTGCCTCAGAGGCAACACCTGCCACGGTATCCAATGGATATTGGTGGGGACACCATCTAGAGGTCTTTAGAAAGTTCCAGGCAGGAGGATATAGCCAGACTGGGAAGAGTGTAGGAATGAGAAGGAGGTCAGATGATCAAGATTTTGTGAGACTTGAGAGGACTGGGAAGCTGAGAATGTGCGAAGACAAGGAAAATGGAGAAGTCACAGTCACTCCAGACTGGATAATCAAGAAAGTAGTGGCTGTTATTAGAAACAGGCAGAAACTAACCATCAGGGGAAGTGGCTGGCTTAGTTTTGGGTTTGTGGAGTGTGGGGTGAGCATGTGTGTGTAGAAGCAGCTCGGTGAGGTTATTCAGTGGATGGCCTTCCACACTGGTCAGAACTAGAGACAGATTTGTTATCAGTCATACATAGGTGACATTGATACTGTGAGAGCTGATAGCCAACAAGGAACACACAGCGGGTGGAAGTGAAGAGCTGGAATTGTAGCGCAGTTATGKCCACGGAATGGGTCAGTAGAAGACCTGCCAAGGAAGACAGGAAATCCAGGCCAGCCTGCGGAAGGTCTGTAGAATTAGGATAGTCAGGGGCCTGCTAGAGCGCCCACCAACGATGTTTAGGCCTGACATCGAATTCAGAGATGAGGTCACCCACCCTCTCTTCCAACCCCTTTCACAGATGGGAAAGTGGAGCCAGGCAAAAGGACTAACTAGCTCAAGGTCATATGCTGTCGGTTCTAGAATCAGAAATAGAAACTTCCAACCTAGTTAGTACTGTCCCACGGCTCATGCTGTCTTTTCACCTCCCCCTTTGAAAGTATTCATTTCAAAAAAACATCAGCCCTCAAAGATCCAGAACACTTTAACTTTTACCAAGCAGGGAAGCTGGGGCTCCTGGAGGTAACCTCTGCCGTGAGCCCTGGGGAGCCAAGGTCCGGGGGTTGGACTGGGAGAGCCCAGCCTCGCGGGCCACCCCGTGCCCAGCCGCCGGCGCGCAGCCTGCTGGAGGGACCGCCACGGGCCCYGGCGCCCCACGGAGCGCGCCCCCGGAAGCGCGCGCCGAGCCAGCGCGATCGCGCGCTCCAGTGCCGGCGCGCCCCCGCGCCCCCGGCGCGCGCCCCGCCCCCGCGCGCCCCCTGCTGTCACGTGCGCGCGCAGCGGCGCTCCCGCCGGGCAGGGCGGCCGCCGAGCAGCTCGCAGCGGCGGTGACCGCGGCGGCCGCAGATCCCGGGGCCCGCGCAGCGCGGGCAGAGCGGGCCGGGGCCCGCGTGGGGGCGCGCGGAGCGGGCGCGAGGCCGCCGTGGCGGGGCCGCGCTGAGGAGGTGCCGAGGGGAGGAGGAGAAATCCCTGCGCGCCCGCCGCCGCCCGGCCTCCCGCGCCCGCGCCCGCGCCCGCCGCCTCCTCCTCGGTGCGGTTCCACTGGGCTCGAGGAGCGGCCGCCGAGACCTCCGCCTGCGAACAAAGAGGAGGCCGGCAGGGCGGGGGCGTCTGCGGCGAGCATGGCGGACCGCAGCCTGGAAGGCATGGCTCTGCCCCTGGAGGTGAGGGCCCGCCTGGCCGAGCTGGAGCTGGAGCTGTCGGAAGGTAACCAGGCCCCCGCCCCGCTCCTCCTGCCCCGGCCCAGACGCCCGCGCCCCGCGCAACGGCCGCGGGCCGGGCCGGGCTGTCACCCCGGGGGAGGGCCCGGGCGGCCGAGGGACGCCGGTGGGCGGGGGGCGCGCGGGGCCTGGGGGCGGGGGCGCGGTGACCCGGCCCTGGGGAGGCGACTGGCCCGCGGCTTGGTCCCGGGGGCCGGGGCGGGCGAGGTGCGTTCCCGGGCCGGGTGCGTGTGCACCGCGGCCCCCGCCCTCCCGGCTGTGCTGGCGTTGTGGTGCCGCGATCCCCCTGCGCGCTGCGGCGGGGCCTGGGGCGCAGCGTTAGGACGCAAGATGGAGCAACCTTTAGGGCCGGCGAGGAACGGCCTTCCCGTGGATGTGCGCTCTGCCCTAATGGAGAGCCGCCGCGTCCTTGATGCAGCAGCGAGGTGCGCGGCGACCACGTTCGATTGTTGGGGACGGCCTGATAACGCCCGCTGGCCTTATTTTAATGCGAAACTTGTCATTGGACTTTCGGATTTGATCTTTGGGGTGTTCCAGGCATCCTGGCTTTCACACAGTCCTGTCATAGCTGGAGGAAGATAGTACTACTATTGTTCCAGCGTGTTGTGATGTGAAGGCTGGGTAGGATCGTAAAACCTCCTCCCTCGGGCCAGGTTTTATGCCTCATTCCCATCGTATCATATTTAGAATTTGTGACAGATTTGCTACAGTGATTTCATGGAGTGTTATATACGGTTTCTTATTTGCTCTTAATGGTGGAGATCATGTGCTCGACTGTCATAAGTTTTAGATCGGGTTTTGCTGGGTCTTAAAAAGAAACACTAAAGTTCCAAAATGTTTATATATATATATATATATATATATATATATATATATTTATACACACATATACAAATATATATATTTGTATGTGTATGTGTGTGTGTGTGTGTGTATATATATACACACACACACACACACACACAAACATACATGCACATACACACATACATACCTAATATATATCACCCACTTCTAAGAGCCACTGATACAATGTGGTGGGGTGGGATAGGCCTGCTGGTCTCAAATTTATATTGGGAGCAGTATAGAGTGTTGAACTTTTTTTCTTTTTTTTTTTCCTTCTTCTTTTTTTTTTTTTTTGTAACGGTTTTTAAGGGCCGTCAGCCAGAAAGTAAATTCATTCGTGCCAGTTTTCATCAGTAGGGAGGAGCTGATGTTGATCTTATGTTTTCCTTTTTAACACTTTCAGGGTGAAGAAGGGAACAAACCTGGGACTTTGGTGTGGTGTTGCCTGCCTTTACCGATTTCCATAGTCCGGATTTCCCCCCTGTTTTCCTATTTCCAATTTAATGCTCTGCAAGGTGTTTCAGTGCCCTGTAGTGTGAAACAGTCCCATAGAAGGAAACAGCACGTTTCCTAGACCATGTGTCTATGTGTGCTTAGTCGTCACTGTTCTGACCAGTTAAAGATGATGAGGGCTTGGTTAGTTCTGAAGAGGACCCAAAGGCAGGAAATGCAGTGCTGGATTAAGTTAAATCTTATATTTAAACTGGCAGATAAAGTGTGCAGTGTGGACAGATTGTTGGAAGGGATAAAGTATCTGTGAGAAAACATTTGCCCTAGTTATTTGATTTTGTCAGTCTTCAGATAGACTTAATTCCTTGGTTTGCCAGCCCCTGGTTAGCTCTGTTTTCTCTTCTGCATTATTGTTGTCTTACTTACAGCACCCTACCATTCACACATTATCTCAAAGCAAGCACTTCTGYAATGTCTGCGTTATATTAATATGAAGTGTCACTACTTATGTGTGCTAGCAGAGTGCAAAGCCATCTGGACTCAACAGGATGAACCCTATCTTCAGGGCCCACCTCTCTCTGTCAGTTGGGAAGTTGGTCTACATTTTCTCCGTGATGATGCCTGGGATTGCTTGTCCTGGCCATTCTCCCCTGAGTGCATTGAGAGTAGAACTTTTTCTAGGTGGTGATACTTACCTGTCATCAGCAGTTGCTCCTGAAGGCTGAGGGATAAGTTTTTGCTGCCTAGCGGATGGCAAAACCACTTTAGACTGAGATGTGCTCAGCCTGATTTCCCATGAACACCTTGTGTCTGTACAGGTCTTTTAAAAAGGGCTTAATGAGTTTCTTACTGAGTAACTGAGCAGAGAGAGGGGTGTGTGTGTTTGCAGGCAGGAAGCCCATTATTGTTTCTTTCTATATAAACCTTGCTGAGACCTGACCTAAACATTGAAGTGTAAAAAAAAAAAAAAAATCATCAAAGGATTGATTGGTGCTTTGCAACCTGGGCCACTCCCTGCCTGTCTGACCCCCTTCCTCATCCCCATCCATTAGCTGTGTCATCTTTAACTTTATTATAAAGTGTGGCTTTGTCCATGTTGACTTTATGGAGTTGTGCTTAAAGGTCATTTGAMATTTTATGTCTTATAACCACATAGGATTGTTTTATTGGCTTAAATGAGATGAATCAACTTGTTTTCTGGTATTGCTTAATAGAAACCCAAGAACTGAAGGATCAGAAATCTCAGTGTTTCTTTACATTGTCAAACAAGCAAACAAACAAAAATTCACCAACATACCACTTGCAAAGTGAAACTTAAAATGACTTTTCATGCTGAATTATTTCAATGTATTGCAGTCACGTTTTATCTGCAATCAAAATTCATGTGGAGAGAATTCTTTAAGTTTGTTGTCATCATTTTATTAAAATATCAGAATATGTCGTAGAAACATATGTGGAATTTCCAGTACTTTAGAGGAGGATGGGGGGTGAGATTCCATTTTAAGCATATAACAGAATGAATAGAATGAGTTGAATATTCTTTTAAAAGTTCCTCTGTGGGCTGCCAGCCTTTAATGAGTCGTGTTTTAGCTACATTTCCAGACACTGGTCCAGTTTTGAATTGCACTGTCCACAGGGTTCTGTTATATACACTTTTGTTGTTTTTGTTTTATTGGATCATTGTTTATTTGGTAAAGGGTTACAGATTGACTTCTTGGCTGCAGAACCCAAATTTTTATTTTCCYGCTCTGCTCATCACCTTCTTTTTTCTTGCTACTGTCTGTCACACCCCTCCAACAGTCAGTTGTTTTCTGCTATTCAATAGAAAATGAAAAACTGAAGGATCCCAAATCTCCGTGTCTCTTTACATTGTCAAACTGAATAATAATWATAATAAATTCCACAATAACATAACCACTTGCAAAGCAAAAACTTGAAATGACTTTTAATGCTGAATTATTAGTGCTTCCTGCTGTCTTGTCACTGGGAAAAGCCAGGCTTCCATCATGCTGCAGAAAACCTTGTCAGCAAAATACAAGAGCTTTCTGTGGGGAGATGTGGTGGGCAGCCCCTCCTCTGGGCATGAGCTGCCTCAGATCCACATGTCTGGAGATCTTCGTTGGTGTGGGGCCAGGGATTGTTGGTCTGCTCACATACTTGGGTCTGAATTTGAGCCGGGGAAGAAGCCATGCCTGAGAGCTGGCTGCGGCTGGTGCCAGGTGGGAACGGGTGGTTCCTTTCTCACACTCTTTTTCCTGGATTATTTTTTCTTCCTTTCTCTTAACCTACATCTTTCAGAATTGTGCACTTTTCTTTTGGCTCTAAGGGGCCTAAAAAATAATTTCATTAATATGTGAATAAACATATTTGGCTTGAGGAAAAACTCTACATAGAAACATCAAGCAAATGGGAGAGGAAGCAGAAAACTTCCCAACCAAAACAGACACATCTTTTAAAAATAAATAAATAAATAAAGATATTCAGCTGTTGATTAAAATGTAACACTGTTTCTTGAGCTGTGCATGTACTTCACTAGACTCTGGTGATCATGGAARGCCCCGTGTCTCACTCTTCCAAAAGGTGTTGGATTCTATTTTGATAGACCTCAGGGAAGCTGCCTTGTGATATTTCCTGGGGAAAGTGTGSGTTTTTGTAGAAGGGAGGTATTTTAAAAACTACAAGTCATGTTTTACACGTGTGTGTGTGCRTGCATGTGTGTGTGTTTTGATAGTGGTTGAACCCAGTGCATGCGAGGCAAGTGCTCTAATACTGAACCACATCCCCATACCTTATTTTATTTTGAGGATCTTGTTAAGATGCCCAGGTTGGTCTTGAACTTGAAACCCTACTACATTGGCCTCTTGGAGTAGCTGGGATTTTAGGTGTGCACCTTCATACTTGGCTTGGTGACTTTTTAATTGTTGATGTGTCACATCCCTGCTCAAGTCTTACTTCTGCTGATGGGAGATGCTCAGTTCATGCTCTGTCTTGCTAATTAACACCCCAGATCACTTCAGCTATTAGCTAGGATCCACAATAGAGCCCAGCTTAACATTTTCTCAGTATGTGTGAAACTGCTTGAGGAAAAAACACAAAAGCTCACTCACTTAAATGTCAGTTCTTCTGTGTGTTGGTCAAGGGATTAACATTTTGTTTTTCATGCACATGAGCAGTTCGCATGCAGCTTGCACAGCGCTTGTCACTGGAGAGCAAAACCTTAAAGAGGTAACCACTGGGAAGGTTTGCAGATTTGGGGGGTGGCATTTTCAGGACTATTAGGTGCAAGATAACAGGCACACTTACTCTAGGACTCCAGTTCTTCCCCTGCTCTCCTCAGCCCAGTGTTTTCCGTGGAGCTCCCATTGCTGCTCCATGATTACACACATCTGTGCCCCAGCGTATACCTTACCACTACCTTTGAAAGTCTCCCAGACTCACGTGACTCTAATGCCATCCAAACTTTGAGAACATTCATTAAAAAGAAATAGTTTACCCTGGAGAACAAATTTGTGGAAGYTTGTTTTCTCCTAGAATCTCATGGATAGTTATTTTTTTTTTTCCCCATCTGTTGGGGAGGTAATAAGGGGTYGGTAGATTCAGGAAAATAGCAATGAAGCTCCGTCAAGCTACTCCACTACAATCAGGCCTCAGGTTGATAACTAAATATTGTGGTGAATGAAATGGAATATT